CCCTTCTGGAGGAGACAGGAAGAGAGGATTCGCTTTGGAAACAATCTTTACATGGGCAGATCAACTCTTTACAGGGTTACATCTGCTAATTCTGTCAGTCAGAGGGAACACTACTTTGATAGATACTTGCTGCTTGTTAGGAACCTTTATATTGCAAAATCAACCTAGCTCAATACAGGACTGTTTTTAGAAGCCTTTTGCCTTAATCTGCTGGAAAGGGAACAGTGGCAAGATACCCTCACAACAGGTGCTGGGCTAGTAGGTTCAAATTTCACTCAGCATGATGCAGTCTAGAGTCAATTTTTACCTTTTAAACTAACTAACTTTACTGAATTGTTGTGGGAATAGAATGGGGGTTTAACACCTTGCACTCCTTGGTGGAAAGGTGGAGTTAAACATACGAAAGCACTTTGGCGGGCATTTATGCTCCTCTTCTACCACTTGTATAGTCTTGTCTACTAGGGAATTTGTATGGACTGTGCATTCCTCCTGTGGCTTGTAAGGCAATGAACGTGCCAAACCTAGAGCCAGAGGGTGGACGGGAAGACCGAAAAACAGAAATCCCTATGGAGGCAATGCCCTGTTTTTCCTGAACATTTCTAATATGTAACTTTCGAATTTAAAAGCACAAGGGAGGGATAGAAAATTGTTTTGAGGAGCAGTGTTGCCTGGAACTATTTTAAGCATGGATTAATTTAGCACTATAGAGAATTCTGACAAAGCAAGATAACTGTAGCAGAGATTATGACCACTAACTGAAGTTGACTCAAGTGTGGTACAGTTTTTTTGGAATTTCTCTAAGAACAGCTTTTGAGTGGGCGACCCAAAGGTTTTTAGTGTCTGATTGGGTCTGCATGCACATTCATTGTGCAATATTTTGGATAGCCATCTGTTCACAAACTGTAGTTTTTCAAGGTAGTTCTGATAGTTGCAAGAGACACCAGTACTGTGATGGAATTGCTGTTATTGGATCATTGGCTTTCCTCATGGTAGATGGAAGATGATCTGCAGTTTGGTTTGACTTGGATATAGAGACAATGCAATGCAGGGTATCATGCCCTTCCTTTCTGCCTCTGCTCTCTTGCCTCAGTTAACATGCTTGCTGATATATGAAAGTTCCAGGCTGGATGTGATGTTTGCCGGTGCTGAGAATGGGAGAGAACCTATGCAACACAGGTTGCATGCCTCTATTTTCCCTGCATCCCAAACAGTGACTCTGCACTTGGCTGAGACTGAAAAATTTCTTCTATGCAGCCTTCCCCCAGCCTATTACCATCCAGATGTTTTGGAGTATAGCTCTCATCGGCCTAGCCAACATGGACAGTGGACAGGAATTGAGAACAGAACTTCAGGATAGCAGCAGGTTGTCATAGGCTGTTCTAGTCATTAGAAGAGCATTAGTGAGTACTTGCTCAGCTGGACAGTTTTGGCATGATGGCCTTCAGTCGCAGACTGCTGCATCACAGAAAACATATGCCACAGCTTAGTGGTTGGGCAGATGATTTGCATTCAGAAGATTCCAGACTCTGTCCCTGTTATCTCTAGGTAGATCTGGGAAAGGCTGCTGTCTGAAACTTTAGAGAGCAGCTGCTAATTGGACAATACTGATCTAGATAGACTAGTCCTCTGCTTAACATAAGGCAACTTCCTAAATCCTGGAGTGCAGCTACTACTCTGTGCCTTGCCAAGTTTGGTGCTTCCTAGAGGACTTGGGCTACAACTCCCATCATTTTCATCCACCAGGCCCTTGTTATCAGGCAGGTTTCTATGTTCCTTCCCATGGGGCTATCTGTTTCATGCATACATACAATCTGCTTCAAAAGCACCAACATTTTATTAGTTAATGGCTAGGTTGACCCACATAACAGATTTGTATGTAAGGACAAAGCAAATGGTTGCAACACTCTAGATTTTCTCTTCCCATAAAAGTCTACAAATAACTTTTATAAACCATTTGTGTCTAATGTTCCACAGCTCTTCCATTTGGCTTATAGTAGAGGAAACATAAGGCATCACACTCTGAAACGGCCAGACAATGAGCTCTTGGTTTTTGCAGTGTTACGAACCAAGTATGGGCAATAAAATATGACACTTCAGACATTCTGTGGTACAGGATGAGCCAGAAAGCTAGCAATATATGCTAGTCCCCTGCATGAAATAGGAAGTTACCTTATAGTTGGTACAATATATAATTGTATTGTATAACAAAATGTAGACTTAAATTGACTTCTAGTGGTATGTCATGATAAACGTCCTTGTGGAAACCCTAGAAATTGAACACAGTTGTCTCAAGGAGCTGACTTTTGGGAAGATCTAGCATAGAAGAATCCAGAAATGCTATCCCATCTGAATCTGTTGTAAGTAGGCAATTTTTGTCACAGATCTGAAGCATGTTAAATAAACATAAACTGAAATTGGTGGAACCTTAATCCAGGCAAGTACTTTAAGGTCAGTGTGTGAAAAAACATAAACTACTAAAATTCAGGCCTCCTGTTATGTGATGTACAATAAAGAGGGCTTGCACAGCACCTCAAAGGGAATATTGGAATATTTTACAGAAAACATGAGAGCACTGCATTCTGGCATCATGTACATACTTGCTTCTCACCTGCTTGAATTATTTTATTTCTTCTTCCCTCACCCTTTTATGACATTAAAGTGTTGTACTCACACTGTTCTACCAGAGTCAACCTTAGCTGTGGTTAGTCCTAACAAGAGTTAAAAACCTTTAATCTGGCTTGCAAATCCATTTTTCAGGTTAAAGTAGTTAGCCTTAACTTTGGTATGAATGTAATGCTTCATCATGGGTAACTGGAAGGAAAGGAGAAATATGCGTAACCCTGATGGTTACAGGATTGAGAAATGCTATCTCCCTCAGGCTGCTGCAATGTTGGACTGTAGAAAAGTCCCACTGAGGTGCCTAGCAGATGCTTTCTGGGAGTTCTCCTCTAAGAAGGAGTAGAATCACCCAGGTGATCCTGTAACTCAACTTTACCCAACTTGGCACCCTTGAGAAGTGTTGAGCTACAGCTCCCATCATCCCCAGTCAGGATGGATAGATTTGGATGACCATGGATGCTGGGTGTTGTAGCCCCAACCTGGGAGGGCACCCGGATCGGAAAAGTCTAGTGTAATCAGTGTCACACAGTCACTGAGATCAATGATCACATTGAAGGTTTGGAGTAGTGGCATGCTTAAATGTTCATAATTAATTGGATTTTGTTCTTCATTCACATAGAATTTAAAGGAAAATAATAAATGGTAGCTGGTCCTTCCAAGTTAAGATAAATTAATTTCAGGAATTCTCTTTAAAATATCTGCATAGCTACTGCTTCTTGGTTCAAAGATGCTAATATCTCTCATGTGTGTTTAGCAATCTTATTCTCTGCTGAAGTGCAAAAGGCAGCACTGCATTTAGTTTTGCTGAAGTTTAACATAGTTCATCAGAGTTAATCCAGTTGTGCTTGAATGGTAGGTATCTAACTTTGACTCTGTCCTGTATAATCTTGACATTGTCATACTGCAACTGCTTGTTAACTGAACAAATTATATGGCTGATGATTAATGTAATAAACAAGAGGAAAGATGTTATAAAATACTCATTTTTAGTGTTCCCTATCTGTTCACTATGTCTATAAAATGTACCAGCTGATTCATTACACCACCCCTAGATTAGTTCTGTGTTTGCTTAGAAATTCTCATCGAAATAACCCGTGGTTTCCTCTACCACAAAGCAGAAAAGGGCGAGTAGTAGTAAAGTTTACAATACACACAATTCAGAAATGCTTATCACCATTGTAAAATTTTAAATGACTACTGGGGGAAAAATCCTTCCTTTTGTACAGATAGCTGTTCCTTGAGGATGATGTTTTAGCATTTCTTGGGAAAATGATTAATAAGGATTATCTGTGGAGGTATGGGCATTTTTAAGGGATTGTTTCAGAGTACTGATCATAATTTATATGTAGTAATGATAATGCATGTTAACCAGGCATCCTCCCAACTCTGTTATAGTTAAGCTCCCACTGGTTGGTTGGTTGTAGTAAAGCAAACTAAAACTAAAAAACAGAGCAGAACGGGAGGAGCAAACAGACCCACAAATAAACAGTAGCAGCCATAGCTGGGTCTCCTCTCTGGGTGAAGAGCTTCGATCTTTCACCTGTGGGTTTAGGTATGCCTAAGTACCTAATAGGATCTTTAAATGTATTAGAGCTCATCAAACAAGTTCCTTTATGCCAAAGTGTGGCAAAGATGTTTCCTTTTAGAAAAGCCTTCCATGAGTGATTGTGTCACTCTGTACATCTTTATTAAACTGCTAAAAGGATTTTAGATATAATATATACACATGTGTAGGGGGTGCTAGATACTATTCTGAGCCATGCTTGAGGGTCTTCTGGGTCACAGTGCAGAGTCTGCACTTAATAGGTAAAGTATGCTAGTATATAGAAGTTACCGTTTTCAGCACAAATGCCTTATCCTGGCTTCAGCTGAGGACATTGGTGTCTTCAATTAGCGGAACAAATGTATTCAAAAGCCCAAAGCAGTTGCTGCATGGATTTAGCACAGTTGCTGGAGAACATGAGCTGAAGGCTGCTGTCACACTCATGGCCTACTTGTGGGCTTCCCATAGGCAGCCACTGTGTGAACAGAATGTTAGACTAACCAGGCCTTTAGCCTAGCATAGCGCCTCTTATGTTCTTAAGTAATGCTTCTCTGCTTGCCCTTAGGCAAGGCGGAACCAAGGACATTTTAAATTTCTCTACATAAAGCTTCAAGCATCACCACTGCAGCAAACTGTGGAGCAGTTGAACTTAGTGGATTTGTTCCCATTTACACATTGCTGTTTCTGCTTTTGCTTACTCTGAAACAATTGTTCCTTGATTACCCTGTCACCCTGCATGCACATATTTGCACAATGAACATTGTTTAGTAGGAGTTGGCATGGAATCTTTTTCCTGTAATATGGTTTTCTCTTGAAGTTAAAAAGTAGAAGTCAAACAACCACACAGTTAATTTACTTTTCAGCTGATTTTCTCTATGATCTTGCTTTCTATCAATTAGAGTATTAGTATTTAATTTCACTGGTTCCAAATGAAAATCTTGTATAGCCGCTACAGTAGAAGGGCAGCATTTCATTTAAATTGGAGAATGTACAAGTCAAATAGGCTGGTCTTGGGAAATCAGCCTAATTCTTAGCTGCCTGATTATTGCTGTCTTACTGCCTTCTTCCAAGAATGTGCTTTAATTTTCATGTCCAGTTCCTCTTATGTGAAATATATACTGCAGTTTCCTTATGAGACCTATGCACGAATTCATATAGTCAATACAGGTTGCAATTTTTCAAGCCTTTGAACTTGGAAATTGCTTGAATGATGCCCTTGTAAAACTGTGCAAACCATTTCTGTTTTCAGCATAGCAGTACAGAGAGCTTGTTCCGAATGTGATGTTGCTGCAGAATCATTAGTTCTATCCAATTTGCTATCCTATGAGTAGATAAGCAGCTGTTCACTAGCAAGTGCTAGGCTGGAGATTTTGGGGAGCAGAGGAAGGGATGATTCTTGTGTTTCCTTATTCTGAAAAGCAAAGTGTAGCCAAAGCAAGTGGTCAGGAACCTTCCAGCTACTTCATGTCAATACAATATGATGCTCTGAAGTTGCTCAGCTCCATTTCTTCTTCCCCTCCTAGTCCCCTCATACTTGGAAAATAGGTTTCTTATGGGGTTTTCCTCAGTTTGTCAGAGTTGCTGTAGAACAGTCTAGTTTTGTTTGGTATGTGAAGGTACTGGCTTTAGTTGCTTCAAATATTTGCTTTGTGACTTCTAGCATTTGTACTTTCTGCCTTTCTGTTTTTTGCATCCTTGTGTGAAGGTGATTTAATACAAATGTGATGTGATGTGATGCAGCTATGTTGTCCTGAGTAACACAATCATAAGAATGCAGCACATGCAGTCATAGAAATTGAGCAATGATAAGAATAATAAACTTAAGGTACAGTGAGGAGGGCCTCTTCACTCAGTGCAGCCAGAGAATGGTACTAATGTGTTACAATGGGGAATGGATTGTTGTGAGGATATTTTCAGCTAACTACATAATATGCATTCCTTAAGAATCTCAAGCGATGCCTACATGTGGGTGTCTCTAGAGCAGGGATGTCAGTAGTTTGCTGCAGGAGATAATTATTTGCATTTATAATGATGCAGGAATGATTCTGAGATTGTGTCACTTTAGCCTGGGCCATGGCCATGGCTTTTCATTTCTTTTCTCCTGTGCTTGCTTTTTCTAAGCACCCCATTTTAGTGAATTCATGTAATTGAATCTGATAATTGCATCCAACTTCAAAAACTAAATATACTGAAGTTAGCAGTGTACAATTGTAGGCGCCAGTGATGTTACACTAGCACAATCCAATAGCTGTGCAGTGTAATTTGCACTTGCATAGGACAATGGGGGAACACAGTGGCGACCTGCCAAGATTATTTTTAGGCATGTGACCTGTGGGCTGCAGGGTGCCCGCCTTGAGTGTGGTTCCTGCACTGCCAATATTTGGCAGGGACAGCCATGGCAACAGCAAAGCCAATAGTGCCAAACTGAGCTTGTTTTCAAGCTAAATATCTTGGAATCTCCATAGGGCAGGGGTGAAAAACATGGAGCCCCCTCATTTGACCTCCTCCAACCCCAAATTTGAGGGAGAGCCAAATAAAAATACTTCAAAAGTTGGATTGATTGATTGATTTGTATATAAAATGACATCTGGAGCTACTAAGGAGCACTAAAAGGGTCAAAACAGCTTTTTTGCAAGGTAATTTTGATACTTTGGGTTCTTCCTTGCAGCTTTGGATGCCATTTTGGTTTGAGGGAAGTTCTCCAATTTTCAACACCTGTTTGTGTGTGTTGACCTGTAGAGGTGTGCAGGAGGTGAAAATGCTCTTTTGCCTTGCCTGAAGTTATCTACCCTGATGTTGTTGGCACCAGGCCTACACATTTTTTTGTGTGGGTTTTTTTGGTCTTGAGACTAAGGATGTACCAAAATGGGCAAATGCAGCTTGTTTGAGCTTGCTAGATTGCCTGTGCAGAATTCAGGGTTTTTATATGGATTTTTTATCCCCAGACAGACCACAGTTTGTGGTTTGATTTGTTTGTTTTTGAAACTGCTAATGGAATTTATGAACGCTAGTGCAGAGGAAACACGTTGATTAATGGGACTTACATGATTTGATTGAGCTGTTCTTTGCAAGTGCTGTATTTCTGTAAAACGGCACCTGGAAAAGACTTAGATTAGTGAGATTTGCACAAATGTCACTAACCCATCTGTTTTTCCCATATTCTTTTGTGCAAAAAGGGCAATTTTTATACAAAACTGCACCAAAAATGTGGCTTGGTCCTGGTTTGTCTTACAGACAGAAGTCTGTGAGTTAACTCATGCTGCTATAAGTCGACTCCTGTGCATGAGCAGCAGACCGAAATCTGGAGGGCCAAACTGATGAAATCTGATGGATTTCCATGACCCCATCACATTTCTCACTCATTCCTACTCTTGGCATACTGCACTGACTTCCACTTAAGTTCTGGAGTTCACATTTTCTGAACACTTCCATGTCTTTATTTGCACTTAGCTAGACCTGCTAAGCTGCTCACAGTTTGCTTTGCTTTTTGAAAATGTGGGATTTTAACAGTCTTAGCTTGCAGCTCCTGGGACCTCTTTTGTTAATGTGCTTGATGTCTCCAAGTACTTACAGTATCCAGAGGCTGGTTGCTTCTACTAGAGTTGTTCATGCAATCCTTATAAATCACAGTGGCCATCTACTTGGGACAAACAAAAGCAGCAACCCAAACCTTTCTTGTTCCTTTTCCACTAGCCATGGTGTAGAATGAGCTGTGATTGTCCTATGTGATTATTCTTGACTGTTTAAGCTCAGACATGACAATGCTTACCAATTTGAGATTAGACTTCAGCATCTTGTGCTCCTTCTCCTCTCCTGTGTCAGCTCTCCCCAGGCCTAGTTAAAACAAACCCATTTAAAAACTAACTAGGATAAGGGCAGTTTTGATGTATCAGTGCTTAAGTCGGCAGCAGATGCCCTCCTCCGGGAACCCTCCGTGAAAGACATTAGGAGGCAAAGTACCTGGAGGAGGGCTTTCTCTGCGGTGGCACCCCGCCTATAGAATGCGCTCCCCAGAGAGGTCTGCCTGGCGCCATCATTATCTGTTTTTCGGCACCTGGCTAAGACCTTTTTATTTCAACAATATTTCAATAACTTTTAACATTAACTATATAGGTTTTAATCTGCAGCCAGGGTGGATCTGGATTTTATTTGTACTATGTTTTATTTTATTCTTTTTATTTATGTAAGCCATCCTGAGGCTATGCGAAAGGACGTTATGCAACTACTCTAAGTAAGTAAGTAAGTCTGTTGGAAGGGAGCTTTTTTTATTGCAGTCTGACACTACTGTTTTCAACTTGCATTTTTGGGCAGATATTGTAGACAAACTCCAGAAAGGGACCATCTGAGGAAAGGCTGCTCTGCTTTATTTATTTATTTATTTAGTTGGTTTCTGTACAACGCAATAGTTGAACCTCCCTGGGCAATTCACAAGAATTTGTTAACCCCCCCCCCCCACCACCACCCATGTAGGATACAGTTTCTAGTATACTAAATTTAAAACAATTTCAGTAGTTTTAAAACAGTTTTTCCAATACCAATGCCAACACCCCTATACATTGTCTATATGTATATATTGATTACCACAGAGAAAAAGACTTCCTTAACCTGATGTCAAAAAGATAGCAGAGTTGGCACCAGCCAGGCCTCAGCAGGGATTGCATTCCACAAATGGGGGCCAGCACTGAAAAGGCTTCTGCTTGTTGCCACCCTCCAGACTGTCTTTGGTGGTGGAGCTCAGGAAGTCCTCAGAGATTGATCATAGCGTCTGGGTAGATTCAGGCCAGGAGAGGCACTCCATCAGGTATTGCAGTCTCAAACTGTGAGTCACAATAACGTCATTTGGTTTCCTGCAGTAATGTTAAATACCAGCCTTGCTATCATCTACTGCCAAAGCAACCCTCTGCCAGGATGTCTTTGGCTGATTATTTCGATAATGTTCAAGAATGTGACTCAGCATCTTGAATTTCAGTTTCTTAAATGAATAGAAGCTTAGTCGTAGCTCTCTAGAGGGGAAAAGGTAGAAGCTACAAGTAGTTTGTACTAGAATAGGTATTTCATTTCTGGCAGGCCTGCTGTTTAGAAGGTTTAACTTTTTTGTGTACCCACAAATTGTATGAGCTTAAGTCAGGGTAGGCAACCTTTTGGGGCTGTGGGCACATTAAGCAATTTGAGAATCTGTCCTGGGAGGCAAACCAAAGGACAAATAACCTTCCTAAAAGTCTGAGTACAAAGCAGAGGTTAGATCTGAGCTTTAGCACATTAAAAGAAGTCCTTTGAACCAACAGTGTTCAGCAGCAAAAGAAACCTATTTCACAGCAGCCCCAGGAAGGAAATGGGTTAATTAAAAGAAAAAAAGTGAAAAGAGTAGCTATCAAGAAAAGTGATTGGGGTCCATTGGAGCCCATGAACACTACATTGCCTATCCCTGGCTCTGTTCACCTTCCCCAACTTGGCATCCTTCAGATGTTTGTTAGACTGCAGCTTTGGTTTTCCCTGCCAACCTAGTAGTTCTCCATGGATCTATGGGAGTTACATTCCAACACATCAGGAGTACACCAAAGTTAGAGAAGGTTACTTTAGGGTGATTTTGAAAGTATTCCAGTATTGTTGTCTCTAATTCAAGTGTTCTAGGATGTCAAGAACAGATTGGTTAAAATTAGCATCGTTCTTTTCCTGTAGCCCGGTGAATTGAGCAATAATCTGCTTGAAGCATTCCAAATTGATTACTGGGGTTCTTAGCTGCATTTTTGAATGTTAATTTCATTCTTGCTTGCTCTTGAACTGTGTAACTGTTTCCTGTTCAACTCAGTATAGGCAGATATCAGATTCACTGGGGAACTCAAAAGGGGTCCAACACAGCCTGCTTCCTTGAGTATCCCTGATTGTAAGAAGTGGTATGGCTTCAGTCACACAAGTCTCAAAGTCCAGATACTGTGATAGATTTTGATTTTGCCTGTTTCATTCTTGATGAAGTTTTTTTCACTGCAAGTTAGCCAGAGTTTAGAATTATAAAATGAATGAATGCTCATCTTAACTATAGCTGAGGGATGTAGATGTTTTTAGCAACTAAAACACAATATGTGTAATAAGGACAATTATCTTAGGCATGGGCTCTAGCATGCTGGCTACGTGATGTACCAAACAATTCAAAGGCAAAAATATTCCCAACTGTGCTGAATCGAGGCAGGATCATGTTCTAAATGTGTAGCTTTTCCTACAGGAACATCTGAGGGGGCTGTTAAAGCTCTTGTATTGGAGTTAGAAATGGAGTCTTTTGGCCACATAGGGACTTTAGCAGCTGCTAAAACTGATTTTCTGTGCTCACGGGCTTTTCTTTAGTACATATCTAAGTGACCTGTAGCCATTATTTGGTAGTATAAAGCTACAGGACTTTCCTGATTTACCTAGACAAGTATAAATATGAAAGTCTGACATTCCTGTATAGAAGCAGGAGCAAATGTGTTTGAGGTGAGTTTATGGTGTTGCAAGATAGCTGCATGTGTGTGTTTAAATGTGGTACAAGTGAACAACTGAACCTATCAAATTTTTAAGCTTCTTAGGGATTGGATACTTATAATACCTGCTTAGGGTTGCATTGAGGAAACTATGGGTCAGGTTGTTCTGGATAAAGAAACTCCACTTATAGATAATATTGATCCTATTGTCTGCTAGATAGAAGCCATATCAACTTTTGTTTATGCTACATTCCACATAGCAAAAATCTCACCTGATTAGCTAAGTCAATTACTAGGTTTTATTCATTTTTATGCTTTGAACTACATTTGGGATAGAAAGGGACACCATGTACACAGAGACATCTCTTCACCAGCCATTGAAAAAGAAATGTACAGCAGAATTATTTGCAGCTAATTGCTTTCTGGGAACAGAAAGAAAAGCATTTATCTGAGTAAGTTACCAACTGGAGTAAATTTACACAATTTCACAAGAATGTGCGGGAGGCTTCTTTGGCCAAAAGTATTCTTCATATTCAAGGTTCAAATATAGCCTGCCTTCCCACTTCCACAATCTCTTCCACCCTCTTCTTAGCAATATAGCATCAGACCTGTTTGTCATTATTGTGCCGTTTGGCTCCATCAAGTTTGGAAAGAGAAGTTGTCCTTGAATTGGTCAACTCAAGAAAAAGAAAGATCAACCCACTGTTTTACCGCATTGCTTTCTCTTGATGATCAGGTAAAGTAAGATTTAACTGTACCACTAGGACAGCCAGTAACAAAGTTCTTAGTGGCACCTTAGTGACTAACCAATTTTATTCTGGCATTAGCTTTCATGGCTGGCCAAAGTATTTGAGTTTCATCTTCAGTATCTGACCTTCTAAAGAGCAAGGTCAGGCAGAACTTTGCAACTAAACAAAAAAAGAATATGCTTTCATGGATACTATCCAGTTGTATCAGATGCATGAAACGTTAACCTCATAGTGGCAGCTCCAAATACACACTCTGTTTCAATCCCTCTGACAACATAGTTTATGCTCCCCCTGCTTCCTCCAATTTGTATATAGATTTGCCAGGTTGAGGTTATTATTTCATGCATCTGATGAAGTGGACATGTCCACAAAACATAGGCCAGAATAAATGTGCTAATTCTTAACACACCACTCTTCACATTATTTAACATAACAAACACTTAAATGGGTCAAAAAAGTATCCCGGTTAGTGATTCCATTTATTTACTTAGGGACTAAGTACTGTTATATGCTTTTTATTTTTATCAGTTTGAACTGACAGACATATTTACGAAAAGATAGTATAATTTTGATCAAATGACCTTTAGAGGCCACAAGAAGTGACTAGCATATTCTAATAAACATTTTCCTGGCACAAAAATGTGTTAATTGTACAGGATATTGTACACTATGTTATATTCTGCATAAGGTACTGATTTTGCACAGCCTGCTCTTTTTTGGCTGTCTTCATTGCACATCTTGATTAATATTACATTTATGAATGTAGCTTCATATAATTAATGGATAATTTCCACTGAGGCAATGTCTCTTCATTGTACCTGTGCCCAAAGCCCAAATCACTTCTCTTCTGAAATCTTTAGACTTGGCCTTTTGACCAATTAGTGCATGAGCATGTAGTGTTTGTAGTAAAATGAATCATCACTTCTGTTCTACTTTGTAACTTGATGGGAAAGTTAACCACTAATGCAGTAGAAAACTTAACGTGATTTAGTGTACACACCAAGTGGTTTAGAACATATTCTCCTCCTCCTGCCTTGTTTCTAAAGGGTTGTATTTGACACCCCCCAATCCTTTCATATTGCTGAACCCCTGAAAACAAAAAAAAGGAGGGCTGCCAAACACCATTAGAATTTGTGAGCATGCATGTCATAGGTGATAAACCACCCTTCTTTGACCCTGGACCAGCCAGGAGAGTTGAATTACAATTCAAATTATCAGTTGCACATAGTAGCCAACCCATCTGCAAAGCACTAATTTGGGAAAGGCAGGTTATAAACTGTTAGGCACAAGAATATTTTTTTAATCAGACAAGTTCACATTCAAAATTGGGTTTGCTTGACTTTGCAGATAGTGCTATTGGTAAAATTACCGTATTTTTTGCTCTATAAGACTCACTTTTCCCCCCCTCAAAAGTAAGGGGAAATGTCTGTGTGTCTTATAGAGCGATTATGTGTGTGCAGTAAGTCTGTCAGATGTGCAGCCCATGGGGAAGTGATGGGGAATGTGCCTGTGATTATGTGCCCATTTGATTCAGAATATTTTTTTTCTTGTTTTCCTCCTCTAAAAAGTAGGTGCGTCTTATGGTCAGGCGCATCTTATAGAGCGAAAAATACGGTAGATTTTTCCCAGTGCATTTAGGGGTGTATTTTTGCTCACTAAGTTTAGGATAGCACAACTTGGTTTCTTTTCTTCTTTCTTTCTTTCTTTCTTTCTTTCTTTCTTTCTTTCTTTCTTTCTTTCTTTCTTTCTTTCTTTCTTTTTTTTTTGTTGGGGGCATGGAGTCCATGCTTATGTGCAGTATACAGACTTGATATTTTGTTGTTCTTTTCTTAGCTAAAGATGTTGCATTTGGTCTGTATATGCATAATAGCAGACCAAATGATGTTGCATTATGAACTTACATGAAGTTCATAATAGCAGACTTGCTTAAAAATGTAGCTTGTGATCATCTTGTGATGTGGGATGAATCTTCACAAAATTGAATCATCTAATTTGATTTCCTCATTATGTGAAGATTCATTCCATATCATAGGATCAGCTTGGTTATTTGATTTTGCAAGATTCTGAGCATGGAGATAGAGGCAAAGAGGAGTTCAGTTGCTAAGGTAAGCATATTTGTGGACCCATGTTTTTTTGGTTGGAAGTCTCTAAATAATGACCTGCCCAAGGTGCTTGGTTTCTTCGACATGCCTAGGCAGTCTCTGAATTGATTTGCACATAATACTAACACATGATTTATTTAACCCATGGGTTCTTGTAATGTATGAACTCAGCTATTCTAACAACCATGGTTTGTTAAGTATGTACAACCAGGAAAGCAAAGCCATGGGTGGTTTCTCATAACAACCCGTAGATTAAACAACCACTGAACAGGAATGAGTGGCTATACTACCTCAGAGCCATTTGCTTTTTTGACTTTTATTTCACAACCTGTGATCAGCTCCTGTGGAGTGTGATATCGAACCTCTGCAATTTGTTGTTGGGTTAACCACTGGATTGTTTAGCTCCCAAATGACCCAACAGTCTGGGTTCACCTGTCATACTTCACAGCCTACAAAGGAACTAATCATGGGCTGTGCAGAAAAAGTAGAAGTGGCAGATATAGGAAGGCAGCATGTCTGCTTGTATCTAGCCACCCATGCATTCATTGGTTGTTATGAGTAAACTAGGTTAAGGTTTGTTCTTATGTTTTCTGGGTTGTTTAAACTAAAATTTGATGTTACAAATAAACACAATACTGTGGATTGTTCATGGCTGTTTCACCAGGCTACAAGGGCACTAGGCAACAGTGTTTTTTTTTTTTTTAAGCTGCTCTATATGCCAGTACTACAGCAGCACAAAGGCATTTGAAATCCAGGGAGGGAATGGACAGAAGAGGAGGAAAACAA